GGTTGCATCACATCGTCCATCTTTTAAATTAAACTCATAGATGAGCAGTTCATAATTTTCACTAAGAGCAAGCAGTTTGGGCTTGTCAGTTGGTATACTGCTGTTATGAGAATCTTCCCATACAAACCTAAGAAAAAAGATTAGATTATATTCTATATCCATGATAATATTTACCCACAATGGTGGGGAAGAAGGACACAATGAGTAGAGAACAGTTTAGCTGACCTGGTAGCATTAATTCTACACTCCAACTTAAGAGAATATAAACTGCTCTAGGACTTCCCTCTTCTTTCCCCTCTCCTTCCCTACTTCTTTCACTTCTGCCCCTTCACACCAACACAAAAATATAGCAATGAGTGGTAAAAAGGGGGCTCAGAGCAAGAAATGATAGCTCCTTTTATTCAACTTTTTTTTTTTTTAGTAGAGATGAGGGTATATGCTGCCCAGGTTGGTCTCCAACTCCTAGGCTCCAGTGATCTTCCCACCTGGGGCCTCCCAAAGTGCTGGGATTACAGGAGTCAACACTGTACTTGGTTATTCCTTCATCTTAAATCCTGCCTGGTGTGTTTAAAGGAACTGTCATGATCAAGGATAAGTATTAACAATCAAATATGTATTATTCATGAGGCATTGCTCACAATTAACAAAATAGGCTTTTGCTAATTTAAATGTTTTCAAAGGCTTCAAAAAAAGAAATTATTTGCATTTAAAGATTTTGAAGATTCAAATGGTATATTATAGAGCATATCTGTGCAATGGAATTGTCTGTGATGATAGAAATGTTCTGTATCAGTGCTGTTATCCCACCAGGAGATCCCAAGGTAAGACACCGTTTGGCTACTCAAAGTCTTAAAGAGAAGATAATTCCTAAAATATTTTCTATTATTTGCAGTGAGCTATGATGACGCTACTGCACTCTAGCCGGGGCAATAAAGGGAGGCCCTGTCTAATAAAATAAAATAAATATATATATAATATATATATGCATATATTTCAAAAGAACCCAAATACTCAGAGGGCACTCCCAAACTTTATGATGTAATACTAAGTCTTGGACGGAGAATTACAGAAGCGCAAAGTAATCCATTATTGTAATTGTCTTCCCAAATCACGCACGTCTCACATGTAAGAACTGTGTCTTTCTCAACTTTTTAGGCGCTGCTCCTAGGTAACGGTAGGCACATAATAAATATTGTTGAATGAATAAATGAATGGACAAACGGAACTGTCCTTGAAGAAAGCCTGTATGTGAAGGAAAACTCTATTCAAGGACAAGAAAAAAGGTTATCAGAATGATTCAAAGTTTAGGTGTCAGCTGGGGATCATCTCTAACTGATTCAATCGAAAGAAGAAAATGGGTATGACACTCGGCACCGGGTCATCCTACGTCTAATGAAAGAATCAGCGACTAAGTTGGGATCCATTCCGGGTTCGCGGCAAGTGGCAGAGAAGCGAGATACCGTCTCCGCCAACCCAGAACAGGGACGCAGGGGTGTGGGGATGCAACAAGGCAAGCTCTCCATCTCGGGCTGGGGAAAAAGTTCTGAGAGAGAACTGAGCTTGCCCCTGAGGCGTTTCCGCGGCTGTCACCTCTCTCCCGCCACCCATATGCCTGGAAGGAGCTCCAAACTCCTCTCACACTGCCCTGGTCTCCCGCAGCACTTACTGCTGGAAAGGGCCCTCGAGGCAGCAGCCCCCTCCGCCCCGGCCGCTAGGCGTTAACGAAAGCACTTGGAGGCTGCCCGCCGCCGTCAGGCTCCCTAGAGCCTCCTGCTCTCTGTGCAGCTGCGCCCGAGATCCCAGCTGCCCCATCGCCTCGACGGGGACCGACACCAACAACACGGGTAGAATCCGCTCCATGGCCGCGGGGCGGCCACTACTGCCAGCAGAAGCAGCATCTCGGACCCGCTCCTCCGCAGCCATCTTGGCCGGGCCGCTCCTTCCGGTCACCTGCGCCCGAGCCGCCCGGAAACTGATGCGTCCTGGGCATGCGCAGTGTGCCGCGCTGCTCTCACGCAGCCTCGTGACTCGCGGGGGAGGCTCAGCGGGCTCTGCCCTGTTCCGTTCCTTGCCGGTGGGGGGCGGTACCAACCGCTCCACAAAGCCACTCTATCCTTGCCCCAGGCTTAGAATACTTGAAAGCCTCACGCTGTGACACTATCTTTTGCCTTCTTAGCCTAGCTGCTTCCTGCTCCCTTGGAACCCGTCCTTAATCTCTCTTCTTATTGTGCTATTATTTGTTTACAGGCTCTGGGGTGGTACAATTTCCTTGGTAGCACGGACCAAGGTTTACAGTCCGGATCCATCGTGAGGGTGTGGATCTGAATGAAGTCAAATCATACCCATTGTAACAGACAGAGAGACGGAGTAGGTAAGGGGTGGAGATTTTCCTCAGAGCGATGATAAGCAGAGGAGGAGAGGAGCGAAGGAGTTGAGGCAGGAGAAGGTGTTGAGTAGGCATTTTGGAAAGGTAGTAGCTTCTTAACACATTCATTTCCATGTTGGGAACAGTTCGCCCTCAGCGTAACATCTAGTGACAGGCCTTCCTGAACCATTCAATCTGCAGTTCCCTCCACTCTAGTCTCTCATTACCCAGTTTTGTTGTTTTCACCGTGGTATTTATCACTACTTGATATTTTGTGTCAGTTACTGTCCAATCAGAATGTAAGCTTCAAAACAGCAGGGACATTGGCGTTGCTCACTACTGTAACTCACTGTAAAAACAGTGCTTGGTGCATAAAAGGCACTTCAGTATTTGTTGACAAATGCATGACCTTGTTTGTCAAAGTGGAACCAAGCACTTCCTGTCACAGGGAGATATTCATATCGAACCCTCTTAGCTCAGCTAAGGCTGTTTTCTCTCTGTAAAAAGTTAAAACAGTGTAGCAATTTCTAAGGTTATACTTTTGTTAGGTACAACAAGGCCTTGTCCCAACACATCATTCTGCTATCTCTTTAATTATGCAATGCCTTATTTTTAGGTACATCATTTAGATTTTTGAAGGATATGAAAATATTTGGGGTAGGGTCCTCCAATATATCAAGGCATAAGAAGTGTCTTCAGACTCTGTGGATCCCGGTAAAACATCCAAACACATATACATATTCCAGAACAAACAGATCAACAGATCCAGGCAAGCCTACAGAGAGAACAAGTGTTAACTGCAAACACAATTCAATTTTACAAGTATTTGTATGACTTGGTTAGTAACTGGGTCTTTCTAGCAGTTGATAAGTTCCGAGGACAGAGGTGACCTCCATGTTACTCATGCATCTTTCCTGGAATAGTTGTCCCTCAAATATTTTTTGAATGAATGAATAATTCAGTTTCTCTGATTAATTCTTGCCCTCAAATTGCTTAGCACTATAAATTACCAAATTATCTGGGAATAAATTAAAAGTTTGGCTGAAGAAATGGTCCATTGGGCCCTAAATTGGCATTTAAGTAAAAAGTCTTGCCCAGAGTATCTAGAACTACTTCTAAAAGCATGTGATCCTCCATGCTCATAGTTTGAAAGAAGTAGGGAGGGGAGTAGCAGAACCTAGACTGGGCTTGAACAAGGGGCTATGACCTTGTTTATGCCATCACTTACTGCATCTTGGCCTCTAGCTGCTGAACCAATTGTTTGTCCACGTGGTGACAGAACAAGGGAAGTAAGTTGCTGGGGATGTTTAGGGGTTCTGCCAGAGAGGCTATAGGCATTTGGGCTATCTCCCGGGCAATCAAAACCACCGTATTTGTCCTGGAGGGCATAAACATAAATAAGCATATTTGTATTTATGCAGGAAAGTAACACTTGGAGCCAAGGTTTCTTATTATCCTTCCACTGCCACTATCATATTTCCCTACCCCTAGGTAGCAATTAAGAGAGAACATTTGCATGTTTGGTATATGCCAGGCAATGCCTAGTGCTTTATACATTTTACTTCCTGTTTAATCATAAGAACTCCAAAGGCCTCTGGAGTTTATAAACAGTTTATAAACAGATTAAGTGGTGACATAAGTTGCCCTAAAGATGTATTGCTAGCAAGTGACAGAGCCAGAATTCAAACTTAGGTTCTGTTTGACCCTAAAGCTTGTCCCTTTAATTGCTGTGTTGGCACTAAAGAAAAAAAAAAAAAAGGAACAGCTACAACCCTATTTCTCCTTTTTCTGCCAACCTCCTCCCCAGTGCTTGAATATGCCACTCAGGAAATCTATCTGGCTCAGCCTGCACATCCCACGGGGACTGACATAGTATTTACAAGGTCTTATCTTACCAAGCTATATGGTCCCTGTTTGGTTCCTCTAGGGAGGAATCCAGGGATATCAGCTGCTCCCCATGACTCAGCAGGGCATAGAGCAAAGATATTCCAAACTGCAAGAGATATACATTCCAGTGCAAAATGAGTTCACCCTAGGCATTCAGTGCTTCCCTGGCCCTGAAATCTTCCAAACAAAGAGCAAGTTCATATTTACAGATGGAGTCCAGTACCCATAAGAGCTGTCAGGTTTTACACTGGTTAGCCAAAGAACTCAGACCTTTCCAAAGGAATCACTGTTCTGAACTTTCCAAAAGATACTCTTGGAGAGCTGATTAAGTGCATACTTCTAGGCTCCACCCTCAGGAATCAGGCTGTAGATAGAAATGAATCCAGGAATCTGAAGCAGGTAGTCTGTGGACTACACTTTAAGAAGCACTACTTTAAGCACAGGTCTTCAAAGTGAATTACACAAGATAATCCTCTGAGATACTGGAAGACGATATCAGAACTTTCACATCTAGAATCTCATCCTTCAAAACTTTTATTTATTATGTACCTAATATTACATGTCTATACTTTACATATACTACATGTATGTGATTTATAAAAACATGGGTGGTATGGTTCAGAACTTACTAAAAGGGGCACGCAGTCAGAAATTCAGAGACCTCTGCTCAGGGGGCTTACACCAGCAGCAGCAATCAGGGAGCTTGTTAGAAAAGCAGGTACATGGGCCCCACTCAGACCTACTGATGACTGTGGGTGGGCCCAAGGAACCAGGTTTAATAAGCTCACCAGCTGATCCTGTGCTCACCAGAAGTTGAGAAGCACTGCAGAGGATAAGATTTGCTGACAGAAGAGATATTCCCTCACTTATTCCTTACCAGTGATACCACCTGGAAGCCACATATGGAAAGAGAAAAGCCAACCAAACGTGTTACCTGATTTTGAAGCACAACAGCAACTGGCCGCTCTGAGGAGCCAGGTGGTAGCAGCAGTAGACCCTGGAGTCCTTGGAGGAGTTCATGGAAGGTCAAGTGACTGATGCATTTGCCCAGAGGCTTGAACAACATGTGTAGGGCCTACAAGATGATCAGTAAGCATCTCTCCCAAACTCCACTACAACTTTTCCTCCTCCTACCTTGCCTCCGAGGTTCTTCCCTTGCTGACCTGCCTTTGGCACCTTCCTGATCAGGTTACTTACCAGGCTTGTTGCCACTCATGACGCTCCATCCCTGACACTGAGCCCTTTCAGTATCCACTTTTTCTTAGAGAAGGTATCCTAGAACATTAGATACGGGACTCAACACTTAGCAGGGGGCCCTTATCTTTTCTCAGACCTTCACAGCACACTCACCTGTGCAATCATACACCTGGTTTTTTTCTTTTGTTCATCATACCTGAAGATAATCCACTGTTCCTATAATAGTTTGTTCTGTAAATTCCTCACCTGAGAGTGGCAGGGCCAGCACCCCTCACTACCCAGTACCTTATCTGGTATCTCTGCGGGGTGGGGAGTGGGGAGGAGGAACAATCCCTAACCCATCCTGGAGACCATCCTCTTCTCTACTCAATGCTGCAGTACCTGGTCAGCCATGTCCTTTCGGACCAGGAGGGGCAGGTGGTGCATGATGGCCAGAAGGAGGCTAACAGCCTGATCCTGGGGCAGGAAGGGGAGCAGCCGGGCCACCAGGGCCTTCCCCTTCCTCACAGAGAGTACCTGCAGGAAGCCATCTGCTGCCTCCCTACAAGGGAGAGATGAGAGCATTTTCAGTGTTCTGCATAGACAAGAGGGCCACATGCCAGAAAAGGCAGGCAGAAGCAAGGCCAATGTCTTTGCCGCTCCTTCCCTTCCTGGGTTGAGGCAAAACCCACCCACACTCACTCCAGGTTGTTCTGCTCCTGGGTCTTTAAGGCCTGGAAAAGCTGCTCAACCTGCTTGCTCTGCGGCTTGGAGAAGCAGGGCTGTGGAGGCCCATCCTTCTGGCTCTCCTCTATCTCCAGTAACTGAAGGAACATCTGGGAATTTGAGGATGGAAAAAGTAAATTGGAGAGACATCCAGCTCTCCAAGGTAGATTAGGAACTATCCCCAAAGAACTGATATCTCACCTTCTCAATCCAATATAACACTCGAAGCCTCTGGCTACTTGCAGTTCCTGTATCCTAGAGACAAGATCCCAGGCTATCAGCCACACCACCACAGCAGACTCCCAGCCTCTGACTAGCTAGAAATTGAACTGGAAAGACTAGACATGAAGTCTGATCACACTTCTTCCTCACTCTTAGGTCACCATCTCAACTCAAATATGAGTATTCTAGACCTTTCTCCCAAGGAGGGAAGAAAAAAAAAAAAAAGAGGTTCTGAGAAGATCATGCTCCTACCTGCTTTTGAGTTCCATGAGGTACGGCATCAATAGCTCGACGAGGGGTAAAACATGTCGATACAGCTACCTGGCCCAGGGAACCCTCAATTCGAACCACTGCATGAAAGGAGTCAGAGACATATTGCCCTCCTCTTTCCACCTTCTGTCCACCCAGATGCCCAACCCAAGTAAGCAGGTCTGCCCTGGCTCTACCTGACTCATAAGCCTCTGCCTTCTGAATGTAAGGTGTTACCAGCTTGAGGAACTCAACCTTGTTCTTTCGTCCAAGTAGCTCTTCATCTGCCTGCTTCTTCTCTAGCTTCTTATAATATTCCTGAGAATTCATGGAATAGAAAAAAAGAAAAGAAACCTATACTCATCTTCTGAACTTAGCATTAAGGTTCTCAAGTGGCACCTCTTAACACTCCTACAGCATTCATTCCAGAAATGCTGCTAGCACCTTTGGCCTTCCTAGCAGTTATTCTAAAGTGTTTTAAGTACCCTGGGCCCCATGTCATCTGTCTTGGAATTCCTATATCACATACTTGAGAAGCAAGGTACCACCACCAGGTCTGATGACAGGGCAGAGAGCCAAGTGGAAGACCAGGAAGCAAACCTGTTCTAGCATCTGTAACCTTCCTATATTCTTCACTTCCAAGTTCATACACACTGCACATCACCTATCCTTCTCCTCCCCATTTTAATCTTGTCATCCTACCTGGGATTTCCAAAAATCAAAGTTATCTGATGGTGTGGAGGCCATTGGCAGCTTGAAGTATAGAACTAACACTATGGAAATGTTTGTTAATTGGCCTCTAGGCCAGTCTTATACTTCTGTGGATTTGCTTAGCTGCTCAAACATCTTCTTAAAGCCAAGTTGAGAAATACTAAACTAGAATAAAGCCACTGACTGAGTCGAAAGGACTTGAATATGGCTCATTTGTTTAGAAGAAGTGCCAAAAAGGCAAGAGTACAAAACTATTTCACTTTCAGTGATCCTAGCAAAAAGAGGGGGCTGTTTGAAGCTCGGTGGAAAGAAAGGGAAAAAAAAACCCACTAATGTAAATAGGAAAGGGATAAAGGTGGGCACCTTGGTGGGGGCTCATGGATGCTGAGGAGAAAATGAAACAGCCTAGACAACCCAAAAACCTGTTGGATAAAGACTTACCCCATAAATAAAGAGGAGTAGGAAGCAAGGGGAAATGAGTCAATGCCTGCAAGCATTTGTTCAATTTAGTTCAACAAATTGTACACAGATCTTTGTGTTTTAGACCTAAAAAGTAAAAGGTAAGCAGATGCATATTTATAACAAGACATTTCTATGATCCAGAAAAGTGTACAAAGGTGGGAGAGTCCACATTTCCAGGGTGAATAGGGAAAATTTTCAGCAAAGAATGGAGATAAAACCTGAGTGTTTTGGGAACAATAAAGAATCCCATCTGCCTGGAGTGTAGGAGAATAGAGAGACATGAGCTTGAGATGTCAACTTTAGAAATACTGACCCTATCCCTGTAGTGATGGTCTCTCCCACCTGAACAGACATGGCCTCCATGAGCCAAAGAGAGGATCAGAAAAGATCAGAGGGCCTGGGAGTCCAGGCTCATTTGACCCCGAGGTCAGAGGCTGGGATGAGCACCCCGGGACTCACCTGGTAGTAGTAGTCATCCAGGTGAGGGTTCTCACTCTGCAGCTGAACCATCTGCACTTTTATCACCCAGTCCTTCTCTTTTTTGGTCATGAGGTTAGCATAGGGGTCTGGCTGCTGAGACCAAGGCTTCTTGGCTGGGGGGCTTCAAAGCAGGATGAGCAACCCTTTAGACCCCTTTAGACCCCTGCCACGGAGAACTTCCCAAGTAGTGGTGAACAGGAAGTGGAGCTCTCTGGGAAGGATGGGAGTGGGCACAGAGGTGGGCAACAGGAGAGTCTTAGCCATGTAGGGAGTTTGGGGGAGGTGCCTGGTCACAAGGGAACATGCCCCCCTCAACCCTGCTCCTCCTCATCTAGGCTTTACCTTTGTGTTCGACTGAGCTGCTGTTGCTGCAGGATCCGTTGGTGCTCAGGGTGGAGCTGGGTCAGGTGACTGGGAAGACTTAAAAAGAAACTTGGGCTGGTTGGAAGGAAACTCTTAGCTCCCTACCTGCTCTGTTCACTCAGCCCCTGGTAAGCTCAGGTGCATATCTAAGGGAACCCTCTCTTTATGTGCCTTCCCAAAGTCAGACTCATAACACATCACAGTCCCAGCCCAACAGGACTCCCTTTCCCCTCCAATATATTTTCCTGCAATTTGACTGCAGGAAATCCTGGCATAGTAGAAAACCTTTTGGCCTGGTTGTCAGAGGTTCTGAGTCCTAGTCTCAGTTCTATCATGCTAGCTGACCTTGAATAAATGTTTAATCTCCCTGGAGCTTCATTTTCTCATCTGTGAGGGAGAAAGTATTAGACTCAGAGTTCTGTCGATTTCTGTATTTTCCTGTGATAACTGGTAGGAATGGCCCCCACCCCTGAGACCTCTAGGGAGAAACTCAGCTTTCCCTGATGCTGGAGTTTCCAGCACCCCAAAACAGTACCTGAACCTAGGGGGCCACGAGGTTGGCAGGCTACAAAAGATTGATGGGTCTGATGAGGGCAGTCGAGGTCCAAAGTGCCGTACTGGAGAGCTGGCACTGGGAAACATAGGCCAGAAAGAGATTGGCGACCGGTAGTCCAGGGTCTGCGAGAGGAATTAAGAGTCTGAGAGAGGCCATCTCCATGAAGAGAATGTTGCTCTTGCTGTTAATGCTCAGCAACTTTCCTGTTTTTATAGACTCAATTGCCTTTTCCCTCAAGAACTTCACCCAACATTTTTCTGTGTCGGAGTGGGTGGGGGTGTCTTCTCAAGCCAGCTATGAGGGCACCAGACTGTGGTTCCCACCCTTATTTCAGCTGGATTTGTCACCTCCTAGGAAACAGCTCTTCAGTACCAGACAATGTGGGAAGCATGGGTTTTTCTCGCTATCTGGATAGTCAACACCTCTCACTCTCTCCTCTCTGTAACAGTCTTCTCTCAGGCTTTTTGTCTTTGGCCACTGGGGCAGTACACATCTTTCCTTTTCTGATTCACCTGAAGCCCTCCTCGGCTATAATTCCCTTCTAGTTCTCCCTGCAGGATTTCCTGGTCCTTGAATTTCTCTACCCCAGGCCATTATGCAGTTAGTGGAAGGGCAGGTGCTCTTTCCAGCCCTGAGCTCAGCACTGCTCATCTGCCGAAACATTTTGTAAGATAAGGAGTAGGGATCTAGTTTGTTCTTTCTCATATGAAAAGCCAGTTGTCCATCCATGCTCCTGGTTGGGCAACACCACCCCTGCCATTTACCAAATATGCCTACCTCCCATGCCCATGCCTCATTTTGAGTGTTTTATCTCCAGAGCAGGGTCAAGAGTAGATTAAACATAATGGATGGAATCCTCCTTAGTACCCAGTCACCTCTCACAGGATGGAGACTGTAACAGACTCATCTGCCACAGAAAATGCAAGGAGGCAGATGACACCCCCAGCATACCACGGTCCTTGACTCCAGGGGAGCCGAGCAGACCTCTCTGGAACAGGCAGGAGGAAAACACAGGCTTGAATGGGCCCCTGTGGCGTCTTCTACATTCACCTGTATCCATGGGGAGGTGGGAGGAGGCAGCAAGACCAGCCATTCCAACACCCAGAACAGTGGCAGCGTGGCCCTTCGTCAGATTCAAAGTCAACTGGGTGAGGATCCCTCTCTGTCCTCTGGGAGAAATAAGACTAGTATAGTAGTACCCCATTATTTAGAGGGGATACGTTCCAAGACCCCCAAGTAGAGTCCCGAAACTGTGGATAGTACTGAACCCTAAGTATACTATATTTTTTCCTCTTCATATGTACCTATGACAGTCTATAAATTAGGCACATTAAGAGATTAACAATTAAAGTAGAACAATTGTAACAATATACTGTAATGAAAGTTAATGTGAGTGTAGTCTCCCTCAAAATATCTTTTTGTACTGTACTCACCTATTTTCAGACTATGGTTGACCATGGGTAACTGAAACAGTGGGAAATGAAACCATGGATAAGGAGGAACTACTATATCTTAGAAGCAGGTTCAAGGAGGGTCTGAGTCACCTCATTTCTAATGGATGTCCTTGTCTCTCCCCACTGGCTATGGAAATCCAAGGGAACAAATACCAGGAATGGACTTGCCGAGACAGAGAAGCCCAGGACCAGGCAAAGATGACTCACCTTCAGCACTAGCAGCAGGGCCACCACCTATGGGTGACACACAGTCCTGCTAGGATCTGGTTTTAAGGTGAGGACAGCATCAAAAACTAAGAGGGAGGCTGGGCATGGTAGCTCACACCTGTAATCCTAGCACTATGGGAGGCGGAAGCGGGAGGATCACTTGAGGTCAGGAGTTTGAGACCAGCCCCAGCAAGAGCAAGTCCCCATCTCTATTTTGTTTTTAAATACATAAAAATAAATAAAAATATAAATAAAGAAACTAAGAGGGAGACAGCAGGAAAGAGGGAAGGATAGAGTCCCTAACTCAGGTTCAAGCCTAAAATAGAAAGTATTAATCCAAAACCTGTCTTAGAAAGGGGTAGAGAAGAGAGGGATGTTTAGCGACAGCCTGTGAGTCGCAGATGGCTCAGACAACAAACCCTCTCTCATCCCCTCCTGCCACAGTACCTGGGTGTTATGGACAGTGCTGAATACAACTGGATCCCCAAGATCATTCTCTTCCTCTTCCTCCTCTGGGTCTGGATCCAGATCCTCCTCTTCATTCTCTTCCTCTTCCTCCAACTGGGAGGAAGATACCAGCTCCTCCTTGGGAGCCAAGGGGTGGCAGGTCTTGCCTGGCCTTTGGTTTAAGTGTGGGCCTGAGGAGGAAGTGAAGAGGCTGCTGCTCAAAAGCACTTCTGTTCACGAACCATCTCCAGCACCACCTTCGAACAGGACGCCTCCTGTTCTCTGGGTTCAGCTCAGCCTCTGTACCCCAGGATGCCCCAGGCCACCCCCCTAAACCAGACGGAGCCTGGCAGGTGCCAAACACCTTCACTTTCCACATCCCCTCTTCACCTGCTTTGTTCCACCCAGCAGCCCTTTCCGTTGCCTCTTTAACTGAACAAGTGCCAGCTGCCCCGACCCCTTTCGATTTAATCCTGCTGAGCGCCAGGTACTTTACACGTGTATGTTCATTTAACAGTCGTATGAGGCTGTCTCAGCTGTTACTGATAATTTTACTATGTAGGTGAGGAAAATAAGGTTTAGGAAAGTGATCTCAGTTGCCCAGCATGATATAGCTAGTAAGTGGGAAATTTGGAGTAACTACCAGGGACTCTGGACACCCAAGCCCTTGTGTGAAGCAGACCAGCAGCCTCCACACCCCAGGGCTTTATATCTAGACACCACATCCCGCTTGGTGATACCTTCAAGGCATTTCATCTTGGCAGGCTGGCGGACTTCCTCCTTGGCTGCATCCTCCAGTGAGAGAGCATTGTCAGCCTCTAGAAGGTAAACCTGGGACAGGGAAGAGACCCAGAGATACCCTCCTCCTTAGTAAGGATGGCATGGCACCCCAAAATAGCCATGGTCTCTTCCCAGCAAGGTGGTCAGAGAATTATTGGCCCAAGGCCTCAGGGAGCAAGATCCTGGGCTCTCAGACTACTATAAACATCCACCCGTCCCCTTCCTCCCTTTTTTCCTCCTACCTCCTTTCCCCCCTCCCCCCTTTTTCCCCCTCCCAGCCCAGCTCCAGGGAGCTGTCCTGCAAGAGGACAGAACTGAGGGACAGGGCTAGGAGTCAGCAGAGAAGACTGTCCACACGGACACTACCAGCCACCGTCTTGTGCTTGGTGACATGTCATTGCTGACACGTACTGCCCAACTGTTGCCATCCCTTCGGCTTAGGTTCGCCATGGCAGCCTGGGCCAGGGCCAGGGCCTGATTGCTGCTCCTGGCTTTAAGACTCCCAGCTCCTCCCCTGCTCATTTGTTAAAGGACCAGCATCCCCCAACCCCTGGGTCCTGATAGAAGTATAGGAACGCTTCATAGGAACTTTGTGAAGTTGCATTTCATTTAATCCCTAGATTTTGCTCTAAGAAAACTGGGTAGGAAAGCCCTGGGTGGCCCCTGAGGAGGATGCCCAGCAACCAAGTTCTTGGTGCTTCAGGGCAGCACACTTGAGGCTCCCTGAAGTCCACCTGCTGATGCTGCCCTTCACTAGGTCATGTGACTTTAAGTCCATCACCGAGCTCCAACTGATGAGGGACTCCTGTGAATTTAAAGGCAGATCTTCAAGGTAAAAATACTTTTGCATGAGATACATAACCTTATATCTTCTTGGCTGCTCCAATGGAAAACTGGCCCAGAAGCTCAGGAGTAAAAATATCAACAAAAACAAAAAACAGATATCACCACTACTGGCAGGTAAAACCCAAGACCCTCCTGAGCCTCATCTAACCCCCAAGCAATCCTGGGTTCTGCGCCCACATCCTGCATTCAGCTGAAACATGCATGTCTTTGTAGAATTTCTGAATAAAAAACTAAGCTAATTTCTCTACATCAAAATTTCAAGTTAGGGTCCTACTGCCATGGTTATAACACCATGATTCTTGGTGCCTTTAAAAGAAAATATTTGTTTCAAAATTTTGCTGTAGGCCAGAACTGTATGGGTTTTAGTAGCTTGAAAGTTACTGAAAAACTTTTCGAACATCTGAATTGGGTTCAGGTAATGTTATACAGCTGTGTCTCTCAAGAACTTACTTTGGAATTATTAACAAAAGGACCAAATGGTGAATTTCAGTGTTCCAGAAGTGATTCATTAGGCTGTCATAAAGACCAGATCTTAAGGAGAAACATTTGCTGCATGATTTTCATTCTCAAGGGACTTCCTGTATCAAAAGCAGGTGGCCGAGGGCTCAGTCTTTAAGATCATAGCCCTGCCCTGGCTGTTTGAAGTTTTACTTGGGACCCAGTGGCTTTAGTGCACTTTTGTACACCTGCCTGAAGTCTCATATGTCTACCGATCCCCTAGATTTTGTAGCTTTCTTGCCATAGTTTAATTACGCTAAGTTTAACTAAGCTAACACCGTTCTAGGCTTGGAGTACAGCCATGAATAAAACAGGTGCTTCCCCCAGCCTCTTAGAGCTTCCCATAGAATAAGTATAGATAGGCAAATAGGATTGTTGGATTAGATAAAAGAATACATTAGAAATGTTTATATTTGCTACATAAAACACCTAAGAACCGTTTCTCTTTTATGGGGATTTTTTTTTTTTTTTTTTGAGAGAGTCTCACACTGTCGCCTGGGCTAGAGTGCAGTGGAGTGATCATAGCTCACTGCAACCTCAAACTCCTGGGCTCAAGCGATCCTCCTGCCTCAGCCTCCTGAGTAGCTGGGAATATAGGTGGGCACCACAATTCCCAGCTAATATTCTTCTACTTTTAGTAGAGATGAGGTCTCACTCTCGCTCAGGCTGGTCTTGAACTCCTGAGCTCAAGCAATCCTCCAGCCTTGGCCTCCCAGAGTACTAGGATTATAGGCATGAGCCACCACACCTGGCCTTATAGGGAAATTTAAAATCCGTTGTTTCAGGTACTTTAATAGTTGTAGATCTATTCTGGTTTTCAATTTCTTTTTGAGGTTGTCTTCAGTTGTATGTCTTATAGGAATTTTTCCATTTCTTGTAAATTTTCAAATTTGTTGGCATAAAGTTGTTCATAGTATAAGAGCATTTTTTTTTTCTTTAGAGATGGCACTTTGCTCTGTTGCCCAAGCTGGAGTACTGTGATCAAAGCTCACTGCAGCCTCTCACTCCTGGGCTCGAGTAATCCTCCTGCATCAGCCTCCCGAGTAGCTGGGACTACAGGTGTGCAATACCATGCCCACCTAATTTTAAATTTTTTTTTTTTTTTTTGAGACAGAGTCTCACTCTGTTGCCCAGGCTAGAGTACAGTGGCTTCAGCCTAGCTCACAGCAAGCTCTAACTTCCGGGCTCAAGAGATCCTCCTGCCTCAGTTACCCGAGTAGCTGTGACTATGAGTGTGTACCACCACACCCAGCTAAATTTTTCTATTTTTAGTAGAGACATGGTCTCACTGTTGCTCAGGCTGGTTTCAAACTCCTGAGCTCAAGCGATCCTCCCGCCTCAGCCTCCCAGACTGCTAGACTTACAGGCGTGAGCCACTGCACCTGGCTAAAATTTTTTTTCAAAGACCGAGTCTCACTCTGTTGCCCAGGCTGGCCTTGAACTCCTAGGCTCAAGTGAAAGAGCATTTTCAAAATACACACTACATCTGTACTTTGTCCCCCTTTTATTCCTAACATTATTTATTGTCTTTTTTTCTTCTTTCCAGAGTTTGTCTATTAGTTTTTTCAAAGAATCATACATAAATTAGGGCTTAAGAAATAGCATAAAAAGGATAATTTGAGAATTTAATAATGGGATATTTATAAAGATGTAGAAAAGTTTAGTGAAATCACAAGGAGTAGCAGTGTACTCTGGGGCTGATACTAGATGTTACCACTTCAGGGCAAGGGCAAGAGGGTGGAGCAGTCATGGGAACCTGCAGACAGAGAAAGCAGCCTGGCTTCAGATTATGTCAGCATGTGTGTTGTTACGAGCTCCAGTGTGGCAGCCCTCTCCTAAACTATATCCATTCCCTCTTTTAGAAACACCGAGGGAGGAACTCACGAGCCCAAACTGAAGGAAGTTTATTTTATCGGCTGAGTACAGACAAGCTGAGTCCAAGACACCGTCAGTCCAGAAATGGCGGGTGTCTAGGGCTTTTATAGTCAGGTTTGGGCGGGCTCTCAAAGGGGTGGAGTTTGGGCGGCCCCTCAAAGGGGTGGGGCCATTTTAAAGGGAACGTTCCCATGGAACTTCCCACCAGCCTCTGGGTTCAGCCTAACACCTCTGGGATCTGCCATCTTCTCCCTCCTCTTGCCCCTGAAGCCTAGGGGTGGAAAAGGCTCCCCACCGTAGCTAGCCCCAAGGTGCTCCACTGTCCTTTAGGAATTTCCTTTAACCCTTCGCACACCTGGTAAATAGTCCCTTCAGGAAACTCTGCCTCCTTACCCCACTTGAATGTGCTATTTGTTTCCTGTGAGGACCGTGACTGACACTGGCTCCAACACCAGCCTGCCGGACCATTCTTTTCTCTGTCTGGGTTCAGCTTCCTCTCCCCTCCGTCCCTCAGTCCCCTGTCAGTGACTCTAAAACATAACCATTGTCCTCAAGTCCTCTACACCAATCGCATCTCTTTATCCTCAGCAGTCAACCTCACCCCTTATGCTATGGGGAAAATAGAAGCCCTTTGGGCTGACTTACTTAAATCCATACTTGGAGGGAATGTGTTCACAGCCACAGGCCTCCTCACTTTGTTCTTCCGAGTGGGGTGCCCGTCCTCCTCTTCAAGTCTATCCAGCCTGTCTTCCTGGATCCATTGCGCTTTGGCTGCTTCTCCCCTCTGTGTCTGTAGCCTCTCCATTTTTTCTTCTTTCTTCTTCTTATAGTATAGCATAGAAATATTGGGATGTGTCCATTTCCTGAAGGCAAAGTCCCTTTCTTTTTTTGTTTCTTATTTTAACTGCCCCTCATCTCTCTCCTACCCAACAAACCAAACTTCATTTTCTTAATTCACATCATTCCTTCAACTGTTGTCTTCTGGCTTTTGACCCCACCATGGTGGTGGCACCAGGGACAGACAGACATAATTTCCATAAGCCTCCTCAATCCTTTCTCTGGACAATTGACAATTTTTCAACCTTACGTTAATGCTTTGCAAGCACAGCAGAAAGCCAAGTCCCCTATCCTCACTTCCACCTTGATGCCAACCTTAAATATTTCCTGCATTAAAAAAAAAATCTGAAGGTACCATTACCCATCACTTCTCAGAAACTCTCCTCAGTACCATTACCAGTGATTTCTTAACTGTAAGTGCAAAAGATACAGTTCAGTCCTGACCTTACCTGAAGTCTCTACAGCATTTGACACCACTGATCATGCCCTCCTTGGATCTCTGTGCTCCCACAGCTTCCTCACACTTCAGTCTCCTGGTTCTTCATGTACCTTGAGTCATCTTTCTTTGGCCTCCCTCCTCATCCTCTTCCCATCCCTTGAATATCCTCTTCCTCAAGCTACTTCTCTGTCCCCTCCATCTCAGAGATTCTTAATCTGAGGATCCCCTGAAATTGTCTATATGTTTGTGTGATTTTTAACATGCACATTTTTCTGGAGAGACCATTCATAGCTTTCATCACATTCTCAAAGGAATCAAGGATCCTCAAAAGGTTAAATCCTCTGCAACCTGATGTCCCTGGGCAATCTCATCTGCTCACATTTTCCTACCACCTGGATGCTGATGATTCCCAAATCCTCTTGTCAGATCGGACAGCTTCCGATCTAAACACCTCAGTGACTCTCATTTCCTGTTCTTTATATAAGGCCCTTTAAGATCTGGCCCTGAGTGCCACTCCAGCCTCCTGTTTTAAAGTTCCCTGCCTTCCAGTTTGGATTTCAGAAATGGTGAACTGCTTTTAGCTGTGTGGGGAGATTGGGATTCCACTGGGGCCCTCTCTCACAATCGCTCTACACCAAGATGTTCCTACCCTGGAAACATCTCACCCCTGGTCTGGAGTTATTCAATTGTTGATTAAGGCAGCTTCCTGCCCCAGTTCTTTTTTATTTTTCAATGACGTTGGCAGTATGCCTCTTAGCAGGTAATATGCTGTTCATTATGTCACACAAACAAAATGAAGTTACAAAGTAAGACTTATTTTCATTGGAAGGTGTGGTATTATGAGATATATATATATATATATATATATATATATATGTTTTTGTCCGTGGTTCCTGGCTCAAAACACTCATAGTTCTTGTTATAATGTTGGAGTGCTTTAGGCCTCAGGATCAGG